GAGAGAGAGAGAGAGAGAGAGAGAGAGAGAGAGAGAGAGAGAGGGACGACGAGGAGAGAGAGGTGGAGAACGAGGGAGGGGGCGGAGGAGGAGATGGAGGAGGGGAGGAAGAAGAAGAAGAAGATGCGCGTGCTAACGTGGCAGCCGCGCGACGAAGAGGAAGATGACGAGGAGGAGGAGGTGGAGAGAACGTGTGTGTGTGTGTGAGAGAGAGAGAGAAAGAGAGAGGGAGGATGAGGAGAGAGAGAGGTGGAGAACGAGGGAGGGGGAGGAGGAGGAGATGGAGGAGGAGGAGAGAAAGAAGAAGAAGAAGATGCGTGTGCTGACGTGGCAGCCGCGCGACGAAGAGGAAGATGACGGGGAGGAGGAGGTGGAGAGCCGAAGAAAGGTGTGTGTGTGTGTGTGTGTGAGAGAGAGTGTGGCGAACTGCGGCAGCACAGTCCGAGCAGCCATGTTCAAATCTCAAGCAAGCAAACTCATAGATGAGAACGCGACATAGCCAGTTCGTTTGCATGAAAAGGCACATGTAAACTGCATACAGAGCAACACGTGGGTCCCCCGACCGGTTTTGCCTGTCCACACAGGCATCATCAGGAGGTGGTTCAGCAGAACCTTCGTGCTCGAAAGGGAAGCTCATGCCTTGCTTCCCCGGTTAAATAGTATCCCAGTGCCAGTCTCATGCCTACCTCTGACGTAGTCGCACAAAGACGAAACTAAAAAGCATGATACCGGAAAATAGTTGCAAAATCCCCGGCGACCAAGACTAGTCTTTCGAAAAGGTGCCCGCTCGTCCTTCCCATCGAGCGCGCACATACCTAGCCGTAGAAGCAGGTGTGATCCATTTTTGCCAGCTGCCCCGTCCCAGGGCACCTTCTCAGCCTGTCAAAACTCTCGGTACCGTCCCCTCGGCACTCGGGAAGGTTCACCGTTCGGCTGTGAACCGTCACGGGCGAACTAAGGATCGTATCGATCGTCGGTCGTTACTTCAAAATTTGTGCCACACAGGGCCGGCCCTATTCTACTCAAAATCGCAGTCCAACTACGATCCCATAGTTCCAACCCTACCCACCACCAAAACGGCTACCTTTCGACGAACGCTCAAATGATGTTAGGTCGAAAATGGAGAACGAGAAAAAAGTAATAATGCAGACAAAACAGCAGAAAGAGGGGTCGTGCATCTTCGGTCTATCAGATGAGCCCCCTTTTCTCTCCCCCTCCCCTGGCCCCCTCCGCCCTCCTATGCCCATTACCTCCGTCCACTGCCCCCAGCAGCCTTGGCAATAAAGGACGGAGCAGCATGCAGGTTATGTAGTGCTCTGTTCGGCACAACCTGGCCAACATGGCCAGGACACAGAGAGAGAGAGAGAGAGAGAGAGAGAGAGAGAGAGAGGTGGAGAGAGCATGGCCAACATAGCCAACATGGAGTGCTCTGTTCGGCACATCCCTGCCCAACATGGCCAAGGCACCGAGAGAGAAGCCCTGGAGGTCTGCCTCGCAGATCGCGAAAACCACGGCTCCGAGGACTAGTTCCTTGCTTGTAGTCTGGTTCCACGGTCTACGGATTGTGGCGGAAAGCACACCCTTCTTCACACATTTTGCCGAGTAGGACTCGTAGTCCTGCATGGTCTAAAAAAGTAACTCCCCTTGCACGTAGAGAGCTTCCGTGTTCTTGGTATAGGGTACATAATGAAGAGTCAGCGGTGGACCATTGATGAACATCTGGCCACCCACGAAGGGCCACGTGAGCCCACAATCGTCCCTTCTCACGATCTCCAAGTGAGAATCGTAGATGTCCTTGAAAGCTTCAAAGAAACGGTTAGGCCAACGTGAGTCCTGCGGATCCAGCGAACCGGCAATGATCGTAATGTCATCCATCAGCCTCCAGCCACCTACCAACATTCTATACGATCCAAGTCCACTAACGAACTGCAGTTATGCCATTGCACAGGTCACCGAGGCGAGATTAGGGCTCGTAGACTTGCCCATCGGAATACCAAACACCTGTTTGACAACCTTTTCTCCACACCTCACAACTGCATGGTTCAAGTCGAATCTGATTACCTCCATTATCTTCCTGAGAGTGATACCAACGTACCCTTCCACCTTCTTCTTAACTCGGCTGATGATGCACAGCTTGCCCCTCGTTGAGACTCACACTTGCTTCCACCCGTCATTCTCGTATCTTCTCAGCAACTGATGCACCGCTTGGATTATCGAGCCGTGGGGGATCCTCGAGAACATTTCCTTTATGTCGTAGCACCTTCCGACTGCTTGGATACAACCAGCTGCTCTCAATCTCTGCGTGGTTGCTTTGAGGCGTTCCGCTAGCTCGCCGACCGAGTTGAGGAAGGTGTTGTTCGCGGGTAGGCGCGTCGGTAAGCAGTGCAGTGCCCTCGCTGTTCTCCTCGTAGCCAGTCCGACATGATCTGCCGGAGCCGGTGCTATGGGTCTCCAGCGAGCCAAGTCCTTCTGTTTCAGTATCACGTACGCTGTACCCAGTCGACCGTCTGGCTTCCATTTACCGATCGAATCCAAACCTCGCATGAGAAAGTATTCCCTAGCCTTCTTCAGGATAGACACCTCGTCATCGATGCTCCCAATAGTTACGTAGTTGGAATTCCAAGCGAACGTCTTCCCGAAGCCGTGCCTGTACAGGACTGGACAGAACACTGCAGTGTCCCCCTGTTTCCGATCTTCGGGAGTGAGAACCAGCCCCTCAAAACGGGAACCCCAGTCTTTAATCTGCTCGTCCGACCAAGCCGCGAAGTTGATTTCCCGGTTGGTGAACACGGCTTCTGGAGTAATGGAAACAACCGAGTTGCCTTTCAAATGCATCGTCGCTTCGCAGATCGCTCGTCTGATCGTGCTCACTTCACAAGCTCTTGCCGGTCTCGAGATATTCTTCGAATTTCTCAGGAAGTGGGGAACGGCAAGCTCCGAGAATCTCGTCAGTACATATCCCTCCCGCTTCGATAGATTGAAACTTCTGCAAGGGCAAGGGTGTTCAACTACCGTCGTGTACTTCTTTTGATTAATCAGAAGTTCTCCTACATTGCGGTTCCTTTTCCAGACTATCCGAATTCTAGTTTTTATAAAATCCGAGAGGTGCTTCTCGGACACCGTGCTATCCACCACGAGCTCAGTCAGTCTTCTAATCTTCGCCTTCTTGATCCTGGAATCATACGGTAGCCTTACGTTAACCCTCTTCCGCACGCTTACTTTACACTTCCTAAAAATTATCCTATCCAGTTTCGTTCTAAGCCTGTGTTTAGTTTTCTTCTCAGTAAACAAGCTCGCTGTCCCATAGAGGCCAATCAGCTTCCCAGTTGTCATGTTGAGGAGCTGTGAGTCAGGTCTTGGTCTGCGCAGAAGCGCTTCCAACAACTTTTTGTTTCGCTCAGTGGTCGTTTTTGCTCTGATGATCTGTACAACCGTGACGACGCCCCCCAGCTGGAGCTTTGGCTACGCATCTTGTAGGCTTACTACTTCGTTGCCAAGTCGAAGTAACGAATCCCCAAACCTGCGTCTAATCTTTCTCCACCTTTCATTCCAAGTCGTACCTCCCTTGACTATGATATCCAACTCCTCGCCTCCTTGATGCTCCGACAACCAGACTAGTAGCGAGGCGATTTTCATCCCTTGGTGAGTGATCGTACGCAGGCTCTCCGTGCTCACAATCCCTGTCCTCCCTTTCCTCTCCCTTCTGCCCCGTCGTCTCCTGATCTTTCCCAGCTTCTCGCCCTTGCCTATCTCACGTGTGTTCAGACCTGAGTTAAACTCAGTAATAAAAAACTTCTCGAATGCGTAATCGTCGACGCTGTTCGAGTGCCTTATCGGGATCATTACATACCTATCCAACCCGAATTTGCGTAGCCAGCGGTACAAGTGAGGTGCCCGACCTAGACTATCGCTCAGAGTGTTCCGACAGTGCTCCCTCCACCTCTGGATTAATGGTCTGACAGTACAACCTATATAAGCCTTCTTGGTCCACGGACTCACGATGGCATACACCCCGCCCGATTCTAGGCTCAACAGATCCTTGACCTCGTGAGATCTATCTAGGAACTTCTCCAACCACCGGATCTGACCACGCGCGGCTGGTAAAACGGTGGTTGATGAGATTGCGCACTCGATCTTTCTACCTACTTCGCCGGTTATACCACGCTCCCTCAGAACGGTCCTTTGTTGGAACCAATAACTTAGCTTGTCCCATAATTCAGCATTCGCGGGAGTGAACCGTCAGCCAGATTCCTCAGCCGGCTGCACCGGCGCCGACTTTATGATCACGGGAGCTGTCCTTGGAGTAGGCCTTCCACCAGCCTCCTTCTCCTTCATGTACGTCTTCCGGGGCAAACCCAAAGCTTTCGTTTTTTCCCCGTCTTTCGGTACCACCGAGGTTTCTTCAAACCCGTCGTAGGCCAACTGCACCTGGTGTCTTGCCAAGATCTCTACCGCCTCCGGTTTCGTAGTGTACTTAATTCCTTTCTGATCGCAGATACGCCTGAGTACGTCAGCTTTCTTAGCCGAGTAGATCTTATGAGCCGAGATACAATAGTCAATAAGGCCCTTTTGTGAGCATCCCGCAGCTATACCTTTGTAGCCCCCGGTCAACGGTGTCTTTGGCTCACCTCGTCCCTCTTCCTCCGCCATCTGGAACTCGCCGTTGTTAGTCGCGTGATGCCTTCCTGTATCGCCCGGATCCGTCCTCCCTAGCCTGGAGCATTCACCTCGCTCGAATGTTCTGAGCAGTGTGTTCTCCGCTGCCTTGTTCGCCGTGTCCGCCGTGTTCTTCTTGTATCTGCTCCTTGAGTAAGCTTTCTTCTTCTTCCCCCTTGGAGTCCGCATCACCGGAGAGTCTTCAGAGTCCATAATAGTCGCGATGTCCGAAGAGTCTTCCTCTGTCGGATCCTCGGTGTCCGTCTCGTCGCTGGATTTATCCGTCCTCTTCTTCTTTGCCCTCCCCCTTCTGCGGCTCTTGCTTGTTTTCTGGACCATTCCCCTTTTCTCCTTCGGGGATTTTTTCAGAGATCCACTCGCCTTCTCTGCCTCCTGGTTGTTCCTTCTCCATTCTTCCAAGAGCTCGACACGCAGTTGTAACTTGAATTCTTCCGCCTTTCGGGCGAAGTCCAAGTTTCTCCTTAGTTCCTCCTCCTCCTTGGCTTTTCTCTCCTCCTCTAGTCTTCGTTTCTCCTCTGACTCTAGTCTTTCCTTACGCATTAAACGGAAGTGTTCCTTAATTTCTTCCAGCTCCGGATCACCGTGCGTGTTAGTGTCTCCACGTCCTTGACGTGACCAGCAATCTCGGGCAATGTGCCCGGGTTTCCCACAGTTATAGCAAACGTTCCCGTTCCCTCCCATCCCCGCTCTCCCACCTCCCCCTTGGTAACCATTCCAATTGCCCGCGTTCTGACCCGTGCCCACGTTCGAGACCTCGTTATTCGTCGACATCTGCCCATTGTTCATGTTTCCTGTATTGTCCCCCGTAGGGCCGCTCGTAAGGAACATACCGCCCGGAAACACCGGCGACCCCGTTAATCAGAGCGAAAACCCGGAACGAGATAGAAAGAAGCAGGATAGCGAGGTCTCCCGAAGCAAAACACGGAACGCGATAAGAAGATCAAGATAAAGATAGGAAGATAGCAAGATTGCCCACAGCGTGCACCCTTTTCACTCCCGCCAGATATCTACGATCTGCCGATACCGAATTCTACATCTCGTTCGAAGTGTCAATAGAGTCGTTTCAATCTTAATCAGTAAACTCATTAGTAAATCATACAGCCCGGCGCGCAGGGTCTCGTCTGTCACGAACCCAATCATCAAATGCATGGGCTGGATAGTGTTCCTAGCATAATCTTCCAGCGCTTCAATCAGTCGTGTTCTAACCGTAGTGCGTCTCCTAGTGTAACCCTCACAACCCCCACATCTCACGCAAGGAAGCGGCATCTCGTCAGACGGTCGATCCTAACACTATGAAGCCTACCCCTATCAGCATGATACCGATCCCATATAAGATGCACGACAGTTCTCTCCTCGTCATCTTAACATAGACTCGATCACCATCCCTGCTGCGCGGTATACCCTGGTACCCAGACCACCGCCCACAACGGATCTCCAAAGAGAGTTCGCGCTAGGCCGGAAGATACCTTCTCATCCCCGAGGAGAGTATCACACCCGCGCTAGTCCAGAAGATACCTCATCAACTTCCGTTGCCGGCTTCGAGCTCGAGGCTTCTAATATTGCTCCCACCTTGTAAGTCGATGCAGCCACCGCGCAACGCTGATCAATTGACGGTTACTACGTGCCAGAGAGTGGCGAACTGCAGCAGCACAGTCCGAGTAGCCATGCCCAAATCTCAAGCAAGCAAACTCATAGATGAGAACGTCAAATAACCAGTTCGTTTTGCATGAAAAGGCACATGTAAATTGCATACAGAGCAACACGTGGGTCCCCCGACCGGTTTCGCCTGTCCACACTGGCATCATCAGGAGGGTGGTTCAACAGAACCTTCGTGCTCGAAAGGGAAGCTCATGCCTTGCTTCCCCGATTAAATAGTATCCCAGTGCCAGTCTCATGCCCATCTCTCACGTAGTCGCACACAGACGAAAACTGAAAAGCACGATACCGGAAAATAGTTGCAAAATCCCCGACGACCAAGACTAATCTCTCGAAAAGCTTCCCGCTCGTCCTTCCCATCGAGCGCGCACGTAGCTAGCCGTAGAAGCAGGTGTGATCCATTTTTGCCAGCTGCCCCGTCCCAGGGCACCTTCTCAGCCGGTCAAGACTCTCGGTACCGTCCCCTCGACACTCGGGAAGGTTCACCGCTCGGCCGTGAACCGTCACGGGCGAACTAAGGGTCGTACCGATCGTCGGTCGTTACTTCAAAATTTGTGCCACGCAGGGCCGGCCCTATTCTACTCAAAATCGCAGTCCTACTACGATCCCATAGTTCCAACCCTACCCACCACCAAAAAGGCTACCTTTCGACGAACGCTCAAATGATGTCAAGTCGAAAATGGAGAACGAGAAAAAAGTAATAATGCAAAAAAAACAGCAGAAAGAGGGGTCGTGCATCTTCGGTCTGTCAGATGAGCCCCCCTTTCTCTCCCCCTCCCCTGGCCCCCTCCACCCTCCTATGCCCATTACCTCCGTCCACTGCCCCCAGCAGCCTTAGCAGTAAAGGACAAAGCAGCATGCAGGTTACGTAGTGCTCTGTTCGGCACAGCCCTGGCCAACATGGCCAGGACACCGAGAGAGAGAGAGAGAGAGAGAGAGAGAGAGAGAGGGGGGGGGAGGACGAGGAGAGAGAGAGGTGGAGAACGAGGGAGAGGGAGGAGGAGGAGATGGAGGAGGAGGAGAGGAAGAAGAAGAAGAAGATGCGCGTGCTGACGTGGCAGTCGCGCGACGAAGAGGAAGACGACGGGGAGGAGGAGGCGGAGAGAAGAAAAAGAAGACGCTGAAAGGAGGAGGAGGAGGAGGAGAATGAGAAGACGAAGAAGACGAACGGAGGAGGACGAGGAGGACGAGAAGAGAATAATAATAATAATAATAATAATAATAATAATAATAATAATATTAATAATAATAATATTAATAATAATAATAATAAGAAGAAGAAAATTAAAAAAAAGCGGAAAAAAAAAATGTCACACTTGCTGACGTGGCAGCCGCGTGACACGAGTAAACTTGGGTAGGAGGAGATGGAGGACGAGGGGGAGGAGGGAGAGGAGAAGAGGAGAACAAGAAGACGAAAAAAGGAGGAGATGGAGGAGGGGGAGAGGAGAAGAAGAAGAAGAAGACTTAGAAGAGGAAGAATAAGAAGAAGATATAAGTCATATGACGAAGAAGAAGAAGAAGAAGAAGAAGAAAAAGAAGAAAAAGAACAAGAAGCCGAAAATATCAAGAAGAAAAAAAAAAAGATTAAAGGAAAAAATGGGAAAAAAAAGTCGCTCGTGCTGACGTGGCAGCCATGCGACAACAATCGGACTTTACAACGAGGAGGAGGAGGAGGAGGGCGACGACGACGACGACGAGGACGAGTAGGAGGAAAAGAAGAAGAGGAAGAAGAAAATATCAAGAGGAAGGAGAAGATGATGATAAAAAAAAAAATGAAAAAAAAGAAGGTCACGCGTGCTGACATGGCAGCCACGCGACGACGATCAGACCACGAGGAGGAGGAGATGGAGGAGGAGGAGGGAGAGGAGGAGGAGGAGGAGGATGACGACGACGACGACGAGGAGGAGGAGCAGTAGGAGGAGTAGGAGAAAAAGAAGAAG